TGTGTGTGTGTGTGTGTGTGTGTGTGTGTGTGTGTGTGTGTGTGTGTGTGTGTGTGTGTGTGTGTTAATTGTTGCATACAGTTTCTACAGTGTTGTTTACTGTGTCTTTTTGTTTCCCCTTTTCCTCCTTTGATTTCATCTCTCTTTTTAGTGATGGAGCCCACGGTTGTGAGTACGTCCACTGTGGCCGCTGATGAGTTCGATAGGAATGTGCCACGAATCTGTGGTGTTTGTGGCGACAAAGCCACTGGCTTCCACTTCAACGCCATGACCTGTGAGGGCTGCAAGGGCTTTTTCAGGTACAAAAATTGATGGTTTTAATTTTCGCCTGTGCAAATATAACGTTTGTGTGGCCAGCAGAAAAAAAAGCTCAAAATGATTGGAAAATATTGCATAAGTTACTGACACATGTACACACAAGTTGCATATATAATGGCTACTCACATGCTTATATTATGATATATATGTATTATGATATAAAGTATAGTCGCTGCCCACAGCTTCTCACACACACACACACCAGCTGACAGCATTCGTGTCCACACTAATGCTCGGCAGCAGGCCGAGAATACAAACGAGCCCATTCCTGTATTTAATGTCTTGGCTACTCCTTGCTCATTGATACAGACATGAGTTTCCAATTTATCCAAAGACGAAACTGGAGCAAGTCATGATTTTGTGCCAGGCTTGTGTGTGTGTGTGTGTTTGATGTGTCCGTGCAGTTCCGCCTGTTTCTCTCAGCAGTGTTGGTATATATAACGGGAGGGGAGGGGAAAAAAAAGACGGATGTTTAATAATCTCCTTCCTCGGCTCGCTGATGGCCCTTGTTTGAACTTTCACGAAGCACGTGTTTTTGCTCACATCTGTGTATACATTTTCATACATAAATGTCCATTACCGAGTAAATCAGTGTGCCTTGCATCACCGTTAGGCAGGACAAATTTTTGTCCCGTAGATTGCCTTTGACTTACTTTTAGTCAGTCTCAGACTTGAAGGTCAAAAATATTTATCTGGGTCTGATGGCCTAGATAAAGTATGTTGAGCAAGCAATAGTCAGTTTATATATAATGCTAACTGTTGATTTTCTAAGAAGTCAGTAATAAAAAGCACGTGAGGCTACCAGGTGGAGGAGGTCGTTGATGGCGTGTAACTAGACACAGTATATACAGAACTTTTACTTTTACTTTTAATTCAGAAATAAAATATAAAATGTTTAATATAAAATCTAAAATTTCTTCCACTCATTTATACACTAAATGGCCATTTCATTAGGCATGCCTATAAAATCTAATGCAGTCAAGTGCAACAACTCTGCCATCCAGAGGTTATATTAGATTTTCTAGATAGGGTCATAAAAATTGTAAGGATTTTTTTTCTTAAATGACCTGTACAGTAGCATTACAGCTGATAATAACTAATAACGAGAAAGAGTATGGATTTGTGAAGCCTTGGAGAAAAAAGATGAACAGAAATACTAACTGCAGTTACTTTCTATGTTAATGTCCCAAAAAGCTATTTATTTATTTATTTATCTGCAGTTAAAGCAGAGACGCTTAAGCACCACAGTCAATATGTCTTAATAGGCAGATATGAAGTATGTGGACTGAGGTGATTGCTCAAGAATAATCAATGTATCGAGGCAGGCATTCATTTTTTCCCCATTTGATGTTTTTTTTTGTTTGTTTGTTGTTAATTAATTGTTATGTTATTCTAAAAGCTTAATACTTCTTCTGTTATCAAGCTGAAAACTGATATTCCCAGCACCCTTTGATTATAATCCGAGGAACCTTTCTCTCAGGGAAATGATAAGAAGTCAACAAAGATCTTTGAATTTGCAGATTCTCACTTGACTGACAGGAAATCGTATTGCACGTGCCCCCTCTGCACTAAAGAGTAGCAGCACCTGTGACCCCCGTAGTGGTCATGGGTATATTCTGCCATGTATGTTTAATATTATGTTGTGAAAGAAACAGACCACCGATGCTGTTCTTAACAGTGTTGTAAATCATTTATTGTTTCAGTAGACCCAGCATCAGTGTTCTAACCTGGCAAAATGACAGATGTCAGTTTTTTCCCAACATCCAGTTACCACAACCTGTGCTGCTGTAATTTATTTATGAAGCTTCTCCATTTTGTTTTTGTTGGAGATGATTCTGCTGTCTTCTAGTGTTATTATTCAGGTCATTACATTTAATCAATCTGCCCTTCCACCTTCTTAAATACAGCTGTTTTTAAATTGCACAAAGACGGTAACCTGTTTAGTCAGCATTTTGATTACTCTGTATCTTTTATTTATTTATGTAAAAGACGGGGAAAAGTACAGAATTTCTTGATGTCTTGTAATTCTCTCAAAATAATTTGTCAAAAGGTTTCCACATTGCCTTAGCAGTTGAATTCAGCCAAACACTTTTAAGGTTCTTCTTCTCTTTCTCTTTAAAAATAAATAAATAAATAAATGTTGTATTAATTTAATTCTTTGATTTTTATTTTTGTGCGCTAACAGACTTCATTATGTTTGTATTTTAATATACTGTGTAATGTGTACAATATATTTAGGCGCAGTATGAAGCGCAAGGCCACCTTCACATGTCCCTTTAACGGCAGTTGCACCATCACCAAGGACAACAGGCGCCACTGCCAGGCATGCCGCCTCAAACGGTGTGTGGACATTGGCATGATGAAAGAGTGTAAGTATGACAGGTCACCCATTTGTCTTCAGTTACTGGCCCAACCCGCATATGTAGGTGGATTCAATTTGGGTTCAGATTGCAGTTCTAATTAACCAGGTTATTAATTATTGAAGTCAAATCATTTCTATTTAAATGGCACATAAAATAAAAAAACAACAAAAGTTGACCTAAAATGCTTTCCAATTGAGCTATTAACATTTAAAAAAGATACATAGAAAACATAAAAGCCACAAAAAGAAACAAAATAATTAAGATTAAAAGCATAAATTACAATAATTATATAAATAAATAAATAAATAAAACTTCTCTTATAAAAAAACAATCAGTTTTTTTCTTCTTTCTTGAAATAACTGCATAGCACATGGGCTTGAAAATGAAGCCACAAGCCTTTGTTCCCTGGATGCCGGACCTCACACCAATCCAGGATATAATGTTGGAATCCCGGACCGCCCAAGACCGACTTCCTACTTTGAAAAATGTACACATTGTGTACAGATTTGTGTGTTAGATACATTAAAGCATTCTTGTTTCTTTTTATTGAATTCACAGTAAAATGTACACATGTGGTGTTTGCTACCATGGGGGCTTGCTGTCCTGCTTGTAACCATTATGTAATGTTTGGTCTGAGGTCAAGTATCTCTGGGTCTTTGCTCCTTTAGTGTTTACATATTTCATTTGAACTAACAGTTCCTCCTCACATTGTGTACAGTAAGTATACTCCATGTGAAGTTTAAACACCTAATGTACCGTCTAGCCAGGGTTCTTCTTTCCACACACTGCTGTTTGTTTTTATAGTCTGTAAATAGCAGATATGTGTTTTCTTCTCTTCTGCTAATATCCGGATATTGTCCAAGTCTCTCCCTGCCAACCAAATGTCCCACTCCCTCCTCCAATAAAAAAAAAAAAGTTTCTTGTTGCGGCAACAACACTTCACTTTATTGCATGTGAACAGGAGCCAGTGTCGTTGCTGTTGCTGTTAAAAGTGAAAAAACAAAACAAAACCAGCAGCATGTTGTTGAGAGCCAGTTCTCTCTCTGCCTCTCTCTCTGTTTCTGTGAGCTAATTCAGTGGCTTGAACAACAAGGAGCGGACAGAACAAAGACAATGCATTCAGTTGTTCAGTGCAGCAGGGGTCTCCATATGGACCCATCCCCGGCCTTTCTCTTCCTCCAGAGAACAACAGACACCCTTTACCCAGCACAACATTGACATAGCTGTCAACACAATGTAGCACACAAATCCAGACTGAAAAGCTTTAAAAGTGGTGTACCTTAGAACTTCTGTTACTATAACTTTTTATACATTTCTTCATTTTTCCCAGTTTAACCCCAGATATTTCCTATTCTTTCTTTGCATTAATGTTGTCTTTGTATATGTGTTTGAGCTTAACTGTCATGCAAAGAATTTATTTGTGCACTTTTTTTCTCTTTTGCTGACAATTCTCACACTTTCTCTCGATCTTCCCCATCCAGTCATTCTGACAGATGAGGAAGTGCAGAGGAAGAAGGACCTGATTCAGCGGAGGAAGGATGAGGAGGCACAGCGCGAAGCGGAGAAAGAGGCACGGCGACCCAGACTCACCGAAGAACAGAGTCAGATCATTGCCACGCTGGTGGAGGCTCACCATAAAACATATGACGACTCCTATTCTGACTTCGGCCGATTTAGGGTTTGTGTCTTCATCAAATTAACATCATCCAGTCAAACCTAGTTCACCTTATTTTACCATAATGGTTTTAAATTGATTATTGATTAATGAAACCCTAACCCAGTTTACATAAAAGTTTGGATTATTTTACAGCAGAAAAATAGCGTACTTTTAGATCAAATGCTTGTCTATTTTTTAGTTTTTACTGCGTGAAACCTTTACATGTGCCCTTTTCTCCTGTCTAGCCCCCTGTGCGTGAGGGCCCAGTGACACGAAGCGCTAGCAGAGCTGCCTCTCTCCACTCCCTGTCTGATGCCTCCTCTGATTCTTTCAGTCACTCTCCAGGTAAAATTCACATTCTGTGAAGACTTCGCTGGCAATCAAGTGAAAGCAGTGTCTTTCCAAAAACGAGAAAAAGGCTACAATTATAAGATATTAAAGCAGAAATTACTAATGGCTTGCAGTCAGAAAACACCCTTTTTTCCCCTCTTTCTGGTAGACATGTTTTGGGAAAATTACTAAGAGTGAACACCTGACTTGGAAAAGGATTTCATTTTCCAGTTCAGTTATTTTCACGTTAACTTATATAATCTGCTTTACTGGGAATTCAGTGGAAATCGTGTGAATTACCTGCACTCCTCAGACACCTGGCTTCTCAGTTCATTACTGCATATGTCAGTAATGGTGTGAGCACAGCAAGGGTCATGTGCCTTAGCACCGGCACACAGCAGAGACGGATAGCTCAAAACAACCACAGCAAGCTCTGAAGCTTCCTATGTTCTCAGAGTTGCACTCAGAGGATATTCAGCGCGCTTCCTCTTAGCTTAAAGTCGTAAAGCTTCACCAACAAGCCCTCTCTGTTTTCACAACTGCTGCTCTGAGTGCATATTCACACTGAAATGGTGTGAAATTGTTGCATGCCGTCATGTGACCACTTTACTCTTCTTGCTTCATGTTTGATCTCTTTCTTTTTCCCCCCCTCTCTCTGCTCTCTGTGTTATGATCACTGCAGAGTCAGTTGACACCAAAATGACTTTCAACAACCTGCTGATGATGTACCAGGATCAGGGCAGCAGTCCTGACTCCAGTGAAGAAGAAGGCTCCAGCTTTTCTATGCTGCCCCATCTGGCTGACCTGGTCTCCTATAGTATTCAGAAGGTCATCGGCTTTGCCAAGATGATTCCCGGTTTCAGGTACATGCGTGCACTCTGACTGATGTCAGTCAAAAGAATCAAGAGTGTTTTCTGATTAACCTGACTCCAAGGCCTTTAGTGCAGCCAAAAAATGTTCTTAGTAATTATAAAACGATGTTAAAATGTCAAGTAAGGCTAATTAAATTAGAATAATTACTAAATAACATTACAATAATTGACGTCTGACCAATTTTGTTTTTAGGTTGCTGATTTTTTTTTTCATTTATTCATCTGTGTGTCTCATGGCAGACAGTAAAGTCACTGACAGGAAGAAAAGAGATTTTAAAATGTTCTTGATTTTTTTTGAGCAGTTTGGTATCCTTCGCATTCCAAACTGTATGTGAAGCAGTTTCGTCACATACCAAACATACCAAACAATAACAATAATAATATTTATATTTATAACGAGGTGCAATAATAATTAATGTGCAATAATAACAGTGTGCAATACACATACACTTATTTTTCTTAAGTTAATATACTGTGTTGTGTTGTTTGTTGCGTTGTGATGTGTCATATTGTGTCGTGTTGTGTTATATGTAGTGCCGACGTAGGACAGTTTTCCAATTTCATTGTACTACTGTACTATGTATGACTGTGCAATGACAATAAAGAGTTATCTTATCTATCTTATCTTAGGTGTGCTCCGTGTGTGTGGCTCTCATTAGAATAGTAAAGCATATGCAGCTCTAGAAAAATCGAATCCTTTATTTGAGCCATTTGTATGTATTAATGCTATTTCTTAAATTTGTAAACTCAGTAACATTGTATTATTTAAATAGTTTAGTCTGTTACTGTCTTCGAGGAACTGTAACCCACAGAATTTCCTTAGGGATTAATATATATTCTGATTCTGATTGCTTAAATGTGCTTTTGCGATCTCTCTTTACGTATTCTTTATTTGCTTGTCTCAGTGACACTTTACCTAAATTGGTGTTGAGGACTTTGTACTTGTTTTTTTTCTGCCTGATTTGTTGTTGTGGCATAGTGATGGCTTTGGGCCAAAGGCCATAGATTACACAGATTGCGTACTGTACTCTGTCTGCTTACTTGAGTAAACGAAATCCAGTTTCACAAAAACAATTTTAAAAGAATTTTATTACAGTGGAAATGATTTTCTTATGATTATGAGTGAAACCTCTTTGAGGAGTAGCAAGCACAGTATCAAGGACAAGCCTGTATCCAAGCTTATCAGTTTCTTTTATCTATGCTGGCATGTTTTTTTTCTGGCAGTTCTCATTGCAAAACAGTAATGTCAAACACATAGCAGAGGAGCTTTTACACAGCTGAGTCACATGCAGGCAGGCATATTTTCTTTTCTACTCTTTTCTACTTGTTTGGACTAAGATAGTAAAATGGTTGTTGAACCTGAAAACCTGTGTAGGTGTGCCATTATGATCAGGAATCATTATAGAGTCAGATCTATGAGCAATCTTCATTTTTATGTACATTTTAAAACAATTATTTTCATGTTTCCATAACTACAGATTTTCAGTCATGATATCAGCATAGAGTTAATGAATAGTTATTTATTTATAAAATAATTAACAAAACCAAAACAGATGATTTGTGAGATGCACACAAAGTTAACAGATTGTGATAGTTTGGGGTTGTTGTTTTTTTGGTGGTTTCTACAGTAATCTGTACAGGATCAGAGGGACCTTTTAATAAAGACACATATCACTAAGTTTTGCATCATGTCTTACTCCATTGACACAGATTGAAGTAGTTGCCTTCTACAAGGGTACTACTTCAAAACTATACAGAAAAATATTTGGAGAGGGATAGAACAGCAAAATGGCAATCTGTCTTTAATGGGGAAGCCATTTGAACCTTGAAAGGTGCTTTACTGATTACTGAAGTTCACACATGGGTGCCAAAAATTTTCAAGAATGTGCTAGACTGTGCAACAAAAAGGAAACCAAAATTTAAAAGGCAAATTTCACTTCACTTTTTTTAAATTAGTAAAAGTCTGAGCTAATAAAACTGCTAAATTTGCCAACTTATCTACCTATATACTATATATGTTACCTATGGATGCTGCCCCCTTCTGCAGTCCTGTAAATAGCAAATGTATTTTCATGATTTCTTCAGTCCCTAGTGCAGAATAGATAAATAACTTATTGATTATACCATCGTTAGTATTAAATCCTGGATCTCCTTTCATGCCAGGTTATGTTGGGCACCCCCAGGAAAAACTGATTTATCTTATTTTATTTTTTTCTTTCTAAACACATAGAATAAATTACATGTCTACAAAGACAAATTTAGAATGGCTGACCAGGGTCCCACCTTCCACACATGAAACTCTCTCCTTGTGTTTACGTTGACAAATCCACAGTGTTTCATGGGGTCAAGGCTGAAACGAGTCAGGGCCCGTATTTCCTGGAAGTTGTCATTCCTCTGTTTCTCACTCCCACTGTTGTTTTATATTAAAGGCAAAAACACCAAAAATAAGCCCTGTTGTCAAAGCAGGCAAAGAAGGTGAAGAAGGAGAGTGATAGAAACTGTAAATAAACCTTTAATTTGCATATTTCTACTAAATTGCTATGTAAAACCTGCCTCTTAATTAACATAATACAGTTGAGTGATTTAAACAGTAAGGTGATCTGGTGCAACAGCAGTACTGGATCTTCAGGTCATCTGTTGCCATTTTTAGGACTTTTAATCTTTTAAATAAGCATCCAAACGTAACGGATGATTTGTTTCCCTGTAGAGAGCTGACTGCAGAGGACCAGATTGCTCTGCTCAAGTCCAGTGCCATTGAGGTGATCATGCTGCGTTCAAATCAAAGCTTCAACCTGGAAGACATGTCCTGGAGCTGTGGTGGACCTGACTTTAAATATCAGATCAGTGACGTCACCAAAGGTCAGTCCAAACATCAGTCTAAATGCTGCCATGTTTACTGCTGTAAGGACAAAAGAAAGACAGTGTTGAGATCTGCCTACTGGTGTTTTATTAATTTTAGTTGGGGTTTTCTTTGTTATATATAATTGTGTGTCTTCTCATTTGCATGCAAAATTTAGCTTTGCTGTTTCTTATTAGTCTGTACAACGAGCCTAATTCAACTTTGGTAATTAGACAATTGTGCGAGCCAGAAATTACTGGGTTTTAGTGTAAACAAAGCTAAGAATGAAAATGAAAATGAAGTCTTAACAAGGAATTGGTTATATTTCTTTGATCACCTATTTTCACTGAAATGAGTTGTAGGTTACACATTTTAATGGCATGTTTCTCTTCTGCAGCGGGACACACTCTGGAGCTGTTGGAGCCGCTGGTAAAGTTCCAGGTGGGACTGAAGAAGCTCAACCTGCACGAGGAGGAGCACGTGCTGCTGATGGCCATCTGTCTGCTTTCTCCAGGTAGTGTAGGTGTGGAGAAAGGACTGTAGAAGGAATGATTTGAGTGTAGAGGTGTATCTTCTTGAAACAGAAAATAATTGAAACATTGTTGCCAACTTTGCTATCATTTGTGCATATGTCCACTTGATTATATAAAAGTGACAAGCAGCGCAAAGCTTTTAAACGAATAATGACTGGATCCTCTGCTTGTTCTTCAGTATGCTAGTTCACAATAAACACAAATGATATAATCCTTTCTGACAGTTAGATTTCAAAAGCTATTTTCTGTTCCCTAACATCAAGCCACTGAGTCTCTTCCCCCCTCCCTCATTGCAGACCGCCCAGGTGTGCAGGATCATGCACGGATCGAAGCCCTGCAAGACCGACTGTCGGAGACTCTGCAAGCCTACATCAGGCTTCACCACCCGGGAGGGAGGCTGCTCTACGCCAAGATGATCCAAAAGCTGGCCGACCTGCGAAGTCTTAACGAGGAGCACTCCAAACAGTACCGCTCACTGTCCTTTCAGCCGGAGCACAGCATGCAGCTCACTCCACTGGTGCTGGAGGTGTTTGGCAGTGAAGTCTCCTAGAAGCAATCTCCGAACCTCAGTTGGTCGGGGAGGAAGCTGGCGGCAAGACCCCAGTAGGTAGAGAAAAACAGAGAGAGGGGAGCTGAGAATGTCCTGGTTGGACTAGATGCAGGTGTGGTGTATGAAGCAAATGAAAAAGAGAAAGTAAATTGTGTGTGTGCGTGTCTGCGCACGTGAGTGCGAGTGCGACTGCATGTGTGTGTGGATTCCCATATAAAGAAGTCTGTCTTGGTGTAGAGGCCAAGATTGTGCAGGAGAGCAAGCAGATATGAAGAGATAGAGTAAACAAGGGAATTTCAGATAGTACAAATTAAACTATACATATGACTTCTGGCTATATACAGTGTTTTTGTCTGTATTTAAATCAACAAACAGCTGCTTCAAATGCCTGGACATTACCTGTGTGTACCTGTGGTGCACACACCAACACAACAAGCATACTCAGTTATTCATTTAGCCATTCAGTTGAGCTACCTCTTGGTTTTACTGGGGTTGTTTTTATATTTACATCACCAATGTGAAACTTTTACTCAGAACAATTTAGATACAGTACGCATTACATTTCAGTTTACCAGTGCAAACGCAGTGCCTGCACATTACTTTGAATTTTTTGATGATTTTCAGAAATCATGTATTTTTATGTGTTTGTTTGTTTTGGGGTTTTTTGTTTTTTAATCTGCTTCTCTCCAAGGCAGCATATGTATATGACTTTGTGTACAAATCAAATACATGCCTTTCACCTTTCACCAAAGGTATGGTCAACTACTTTCTCAAAAAGCTTCCAGTACCTAAAAATAACCTTGCTGCTCCTTGGCTCGCTTCACTCATGCAGCCGCTCGGCAAGTTGTCTGACTAGCCTCACAGCCTATGAAGGAAAATGTTATATTATTATAGGTTTATACAGCAGAGTACAGAGCTTAGACTGTAATTTAGTGAGGTTCTGATAGGACCTTAGGGTGCCTGGTTTTGAGGTGAGAATTAGCCACTAAATGTATTAGCTACTTTTACACTGCTAACTGTCAATCAAACCAAGCCAACCTTATGGCTTGTTGCTCTCTTTTGAAATTGTTTTCATTATTCTCCTCTCTTGTTTAATTGTTGTTATTTTTTCCCGTGTAAATAGAGAATTGCTATCAAATGTATCCTAAGCACTGTTATACCACCTTTTACTCAAGCCTATGTATTGATATACAGTATCTATGTTATCACAGATTTTAAAGGGCTAAAATGCCAAATCTAACTGGAATAGTAAATTGATGGCAAAGCAAAGGGCCTGCCTTGTTAATATATAGCTGCATAGCATACTCAGAATTGGCATAGCTACGGATATAATTGCAATAGATATTTTTGTTGTTGTTTTTTATATGTCACTTCACCTTAAAAACAATTCCATGAATTGTTCCTCCTCAGTATACAGTGAGCTCAGTGGATGGAGAGCTTGGGAAGCTGTTTCAGACCTCCACAGATATCACACCCCTTTCGTTTCTGACTGGGAAGCGGATTTTCTAGAATGTCCAGGGGCCTGGTTGTGGTGGTGTTGCTGCGCACGTCCTCCACCCGGGCCCTCCTGTTTGATGATGTATGCTGCGTGGCCCTCTAGTGGCTGCATTGTGTAAATACCAGGTATATATAAATAATGTCTGCCGCTGTACATAGGGCTACATAGATTCTTTTGTTTTGTTTTGTTTTTCCTCAAAAATATATATGCAAACACAACTGACTTTTTGTTTCTGACCCATAAGCACCATGTTCTCCAACACTATGCTCTTTGTTTTGTCTTTGATCTTTGTTTTTCTTGTCTTTGTTCCTTTTTGGGGGGGTATTTAGGAATGGCTTAAACAGGGAACTGCTTGTATATTTGACACACTCAAACGATTCTTTGTTTAGTGGTGGACTGATGTGAATATCCAAGGTTCATTCTCAGAAAAAAAAGGACAACCTAAACAAACCGTGCTGCTCTCAAATATAAGCCATGTAGATTACTAAGCTAGCTATACACCTGGTACATTACAGTACATCAAAATGATGACTCCAGAACCTTGGACATTCTCATTGTCCCATCTGCTGAATTCATATGCTATTTATCTGTGGCTTTTGGAACATGAACTTGTATATGATAAGAACTTGTATGCCTTCTCTCTGCTGTCAGTCATCTTTGGCTTATGCTTCATCAGACAGCATTTAATGGCTTATAAACCAAACTGCCAAGAGACTTTAAATGCTTCAGTTTACAGGCCAGTAATATATGGCTTGCTGCATGTGGGATTATGGTAAAATTATACAAGACAACATATCTTTTACATCAAGACAATTCCCTAAAGTAAAGTCGATTTCCTGCCAAGTGCTCATGATTTCACTAGAGGCAGTGTTGCTTAAAGGAAGTCATTTGAAGAATTAAACATAAAAGTTTATATTTTCTTTTTCTTTGTCCTGTATTTGCTGTGTGACAAAAGAAATCTTTTAAAGAGTTCCTGCGATTGACCGTCCGGTCCACATTTGTCACACACAGATTTTCCTTCATCTCAGTAGACCAGGGTTACTCTGTGAGGAAGATGGCGAGTTTTTCTCACAACTGCTTTGTGAGAAGTTGTGACAGGTGTCGCTTTGATCTGTTTTTAAACAGTTTAAAGTCCATTCAACATCACTGTGGCTTTATTCCAACTCTGCAGTCACTGTGAAACGCCACAAGCTGACAGCTGGGGCTCGACGCTTAGATAATCCGCATATCACAAACCGTTTGATCGCTTTTTTCAGTGTTCCTGTAGTCACATAATAGGCTTGATTTATTTTGTATTATCATTTAATTTTGCCCTCTTCCTAGAAATCATCGAGATATATATAATATAATATACTAACAGAAAAATCCGCACGCCCCACAAATTACCCTGCTGTGATTGATCTTTAAGGAGTTGAAGCTCGAGTGTCGTTAGGCAGTACCATTTGTATGTATAGTATGTCAGTTTGATGAGGGGTGTGATGTGCTTGGTTACTGAATACTGACTTTTTGACTTCTTTTATTTTTTGGAAAAGTCTCCATGTTGATTTTATTTCGAAATACATACTCCTGTATGTAGATATGGCTTTGAAATTGTTCTCTTTCCTTTTTTTGAGATAGAGGTTGCAGTGTTGACTTGTGTATGTTTAAATACAGTAGGAGGTTTGATGAATATGTAAGTGCCACAGGGAGAGTTCCCTCCACACACGAACAGGGTAAAAAAAGGAGTTGAGTTTGGGGATTTGAAAACCGAACAGGAAAACTCTTGTGGATGTATAAAACGAGCAGTTAGTATTTGTGTAGTGACAGAGTTTCTGTCATAAAAAGAATATCCCACCCCCTTTTTTTTTTTTTTTTTTTTTAACGAACCGAATGTCTTATTGCTGATTTTATTTATTTTTTATTTTTTCCTTTCTCTTTCCCAAAACGGTATACAGCTCATAAATAAAGTTAAATTTGATTGTGGTTCATTCCCAGAGATTCCTGTTTGGTTTCATCGTGATAGGCTGCTCAGAATCTGTTCAGTTTTGGGTTTTTTAACTCTACATTGTTGTTGTTCTAATACTGGAACTTGTAATCTATACATCAGTGGAAATCCGACCTCAAAATAGATGGAGCCATCTTTGTTGAGATATCCGTAAGAACTGCGACGTAACACAGTAACAATGCCTGCAATATACAGCTCATGGTACACTATCACCAGCAAGCTTTACAGTTTATCATATTCGTAGATGTTGTAGGAGGTGTTTTGTGTGTGTGTGCGTGCGTGCGTACGTGTGGGCGTGCATGCGTGTGTAACTGTTGCCATTACAAATCCTGTCTGAAAACATGTATGAAAGCCTTCACAGAGGACTGTTGGCCATCTCCCATGCAAATGATTTTAAGTCTTTATTTTGTATTCTTTCTGCTCCTCCCTTTAGGACAGGGATTGTAATGGAATCAACATAATGTAGTTCTTACAAAAAAGAGGAGTGTCCACAATGGATGTACACCATAATCTACCTAAAAAGAAAACCTACCTCTTTTAGCTCAGATTTTGCTTTAGCATTAAGCATTTGCCTCTGTTTTTACTTTTATAATATTTGTATTCATGTTGGTATTTATTGCTGTCTAATGAGTCATACTTCAATGATTACCTCAGAGATATCTCACAGATTTGGGAGAGTCCAGCTAAAGAATTCATTCTTTTTTTTCTGTTTGGTCTTTCTTCTCAGACTTGGCAAAGGCATTTTTGTTTTTTTACGCACAAAAATACCGGGAGTGTTTTTTAAAAATAGTGCCTGCACTCTTACCATCGGGGATCTGGCTAGGATGAGGCTGCATTTACTTTCATTCTTCTCTGCTTCTTTAGCTCGGTAGTTTGTTTGTTTGTTTCGGGGTTATTGGGGTTTTTTTTGTTGTTGTTTTTTCTTCCATTGCTTTCAGAAACACGTGCAGTTTATTTTGCTGCGGTGTTGCAGACAAGTATCCCTACAGGCATTAAAGGGACCATTTACTCAAAAATGAAATGTGCATGTTTTTCCTCTGGCTTGTAGCTATTTATCAGTCTAGATCAGGGATGTCGAACTTATTTTACACCGTGGGCCACATGCAGCCCACTTTGATCATTAGGTGGGATGGACCAGTGAAAGTAACCTATCTGTCAGTGTAAAGACATTTAAGTATACATTTAATCTTTGAGAAGGCTTAATACAAGAAAAAGCAGTGCAATTTCAACACTACATCTCAGTTTTCTGCACAGTAACCGTGGAAAAGGTTCCAGTAGCTCCTTGCCCAGACTGACCTGTATTTGTAATGTTTGTTTTGTTTTTTGTTTGTATGTTTGTCCGTTTTTGATATGGACTGACCTTAGGAAGAAAACTAATTTCTTTAGTACATAGAGGAAAGAGGATGGCAAATACAGGATGACAATGGTCTTTATAAGTAGGAAAAGCTGTTAAAACATATAAAAATACAAAGAGTTCCTAATCTATGCGCTCCATCACACTTTTCAAAGCCTTCAAGTGGGCCAGATTGGAGTCTTTGCCAGGTCGATTCTGGCCCACATGTCTTATGTTTGACACCCTTTGCTCTAGACTGATTTGATGTAAGTTTTGAAGAAAATAGCTGTGTTTCTGTTGAATTTAATGTGTCTTTAGTGGCAGAGTTATAGGATTAAATGACAAATCCACAAACCTTGTGAGCAGATTCATTTAGGAACAATTTTATTGTATTTCACATTTATACCACTGCAGGCGAGAGGGGTGTAGATACGTGCACGTAATTTGTCCCTTTCGAGGGCAAATTGAAGACTTTTCAGTGTGAATGCAACTTTAAAGAAGTGGCAGTAGGAGAAATGAGAGGTGCGTTTGTGCTCCCCTTGGTACTGTTAGCATGACCTATGCTGTGTAGTGCGTCATCATGACCTTGGCCCTGTGGTTTGTCCCATCGCGTCCGCCGTACCCTCTCCGCGTCATCGCCTCTCCTTCTGTCGTGCACCTTCGTCATTCCTGATGCTTTTCAGTCACAGGGGAATTGGGAGTGGCGAAATCCTCAGTGTCCATGCAATGCTGCTTTTATCTTGAGCATCACCAAGTTGTGCAACACTGACGCTACCTGATGCTGGCATCGTCCAAAGTGTCCGCCCCCAGTGGCGCGACAAGCCTCATTAGAAGATGGTGTCTTTGGAAGTGCAGCTTGGAGTTGCTTTTTTTTTGGGGG